TCGTTGATTTTTTAAAAGCAACTTTCTTTGATCAGGTTTGCTAGAGTATTATTCCCCTTATCCATGCCACGATTTGTCTTTGGCACAACATGAGATAACTCTTCCTCAAGCTGAGCATCCAACTTAGAATCAAGCACGCCAAACTCAGCATCCAATTTCGCCTCCAAATTACGCTTTTTAGCCTCTTCCTCTACTCCTACATCATCACCAAGGTTCTAGTCATCCAATGGTGACTGGGTAACAATGGCTTGTTACTGCTATTGTCTGGGAAGCTAAGTCAAACTAGATAGTTGTTGTTGGAAGGGAGGCTGGCTCAAATTGGGCAACTATTGCTATGTGGAAATAACCTTACGAGGCCCTTGAATAAGATGATGCAATTGTCTTTGTGGTTCCGCCGGTGGATCAATTGACCATCTAGAGGATGATGCACTTCGAGTACCTCATCCCATGTCTGTATACACAAAATAATAAAAATACATAAGTTTCCTTTTCATAATAAATAAGACGAACTTTAAACAATAAAAAAACAACAAAATAAAAATATTTAAAGCTACAATAAATGAAGATTTTTAATTTGCTTCTCTAATTAATAATGCCTCTTTTTACTACTGCCAAGCCAAATAACCTTTGATTTAATCTTTTATTTTATACCTGTTAGGTGGCTTTCTCAATATTTGCATATGGACTCACAATTCCACAGATGATGAGGGTTAAAAAAACTTGAAACATTTTTTAAAAATAAACTCAAATATTTTATTTTATGCTTATTAGAAACTAAATTTTTCATTCTTAATTATCATAAATTTGTAATACAACAACATTCTTGTTCTTGAAGAAAAGGAATAACAAATTACTTCTAGTAGTATTTTATGTAAATTCAAAATCTGATATTTTTTGCAAAATGAGTTTTTTAAATTCGTCAGCTTGTGACTGCTACATTATATGTAGCAATGTGTTTTGTTTTTTGGAAAGTGGCAATGTGATTTACTTTTGTGGAAAACATGCTCTGACAAACCCACCTACCCCTTCTTTCTCTTTTTATCGGAATCTGACAAACCCAACATTAATATATAAAACCATTTTTCAGCTTCTTCCCTTAAATCAACTTTCCCAGCTCGCCTCTTTTGCTCCCAAAACAATTATATACATTGATATAAATATAAATATAATTATAAATGTCTTTAATTTATTAACTTATAACAAAGAAAAGATAAGTAGTCATCCATCCATTGTTTAGTTGATTAAAAAATATTAAATATAATACATCTAGTCACTATCATTCTCGGTTAAGTAATTTAGAACTTCTTCTTTTGATGTTTCCATTCCATCAAACTCTTCCTCTTCTTCATCATCCTCATCCTCATCCTCATCCACATATTCTTCCTTTGCCACATATGGCAATTGCATGTCCTCACTAATCACCACTAGTTTTCCCCATCAAGATGATAGCAAAACATAATCATCTAAAATAGTCGAGGGTTGCACCAACTGAGGCATAGGAGGATCATCATCCTAATAATAATCATTTACACCATCACGCAACGATGAAGTGTCAATTATTGCTCTTGCCCTAATGTTACATGCAACAAACCACCCTCTTCTATGAGGATTTTGAGATGGATAATAGATGTAAAACACTTGTTGAGCTTGACTTGCCAATATGTATGGTTCATCTATTTATAGTTTAAACTAAGGATTTATATCAACTATATGAGCTATCGGATGGACCACGATGCCTTTATTGGTATCATACCACTCACCATTAAACATAATCACTGATTGAGGAATATGAGTCAAAATACTTAAGCTCGATAACTTATTTCAAACTCCCATAATAATCTAACTCATTATCATTGAAAGTGGTTTCCTTTACACAAACATCGCTATTCATGGTCTTTTTATTTTGTCCATATGTGGCAGTATGAAATCGAAATTCATTAACCCAATAACCATTATACACCTTAACATTGCAAGCTAGTCTAATTACTAAAGGCAAAAGGCAAGGATCAACCTCGCATCTTTTACTACACACCTACATTTGTTATAAAATATTGAATATAAAAAAAAATAAAATGTGAAGCCTTAATGATGTAAATTATTATAATGAATAACTAACTGTTGTTTTAAACCAAGGACTAAACTCAAGTTGGCATTTCATTTGAATTTGATCTATTGGTAGACCAGAACAAACTTGATACTCAAAAGGCCTACATTAAGAAGTTGAAGTAAATAATCTATAAATATTACTATCCTTCAAAATGAAAGTTAGTAGTAGAACATATGCAATTCATGGATCAACTTCTTCACAATTAAGTAAAACATAAAGTCTTGCTGCCTTTAATTCTTTGAGTGACAATGTACATCTACGCATTTCCCCACTTAGAGGTTGACCTCAGTTTTTAAAGATAGATAAACAACCACCATTATCATCATTCCCACCGACTATATTTCTTGGATGACGATTCAATCTTGTCTCTATATCAGACCCAAAATAATGCGAGCAAAAGAAAGTAATTTCTGAAAGAATGTTAGACTCGTAGATTAAAGTTTCAACTCAATTTTTATTCAACACTTTCTTCTTAAGTCATGCATTTTTCTGTTAAACAAATAAGAAAATCAATAAGATTATATTATTGAGCATGCTCAACAATGTTATTGTGGTGCAAATATATTAGAAGAAATATACCTTTCAAAAAGATACATCCAACATAATTGGACAGGTCCTCCAACTTTTGCCTCATATGGTAGATGGATTACCAAATGCTCCATCGAATCAAAGAAGGTTGGAGGGAATACTTTCTTTAACTTGCAACTAGTCTCAAAAATTTTTTCCTCTCACATCTCCAGGTTATTAACTTGAATAACCGAAGCAGATAAAGCTATAAAAAAGTTACTAATCTCAGTTGGAAGACCCCAAACTTCGTCTATAAAGAGATCACGAAAAGCAATTGGCAAAAGACGTTACATGAATACATGACAATTATGGCTTTTGATCCCAAACAAATGAAGATCATGCATGTTAACACATCGTGCTATGTTGGATGAATATCCATTAGGGAATCTCAATTCCTTTAACCACTAACAGATAAAAGCTCATTGCTCTCAAGTAAGAGCATATGTAGCATTAGGTTTTATAGTTGTTCCATCATCTTGAGGTATCAATTCCAATTCAAATCGATTGCAATGTAATTGTATATCCATTCTATCATTTCTGTTAACCTTTGTACACCCTTTGTCATCAATGACAGTATTTTTAATGTTATCAAAACAATTCTTCTCATAATGCATAACATCAAGATTATGACAAATCAATAAATCCTTCCAGTACGGTAGTTCCTAGAATATGCTACATTTCACCCAATTATGGAAAACACCAAATCCTAGAATTGATTGTTTATGAAGTGGCTAGCCAAAGACTATGTCCGGGAGCTAATTAACCTTCTCCTTCATCAAACTACCATCTAGTCTAGGGGGGAGGGCTTTTTTCCACTCTATTTACATAAAAATTTTTCTTATCTTTACGAAATGGATGTTTAGGAGGTAAAACTTGACAATGACAATCAAAAAATGATGTTTTCCTCCTGTATTGAAGTTGAAAAGCCTTTGTGTTCTCCGTGCAATAGGGGCCAGACAACCTCCCATGTGTGCTCCATCTAGATAACATGCCATAACCCGAAAAATCATTTAAAGTCCATAAGAGTGTAGCTTCCATGATAAAATTCTGTCGTCTAAATCTATCATAAGTTTCAACCCAATTTGTCCACAATTCCTTAAGTTCATTAATTAATGGCCTCAGCATGACATCAATATTTTTCCTTGGACTTTGAGGTCCAACAATTATCAAGGCAAGGAAAATATGCTCTAACTTCATGCACAATTCAAGAGAAAGGTTGTATACAATAAGGAAGATAGGCCAACAAGAGTAAGGTGCTGCAGAGCAACCAATAAATGCCATGTCATGTGCTTTGCCATTTTCCTAGACATGTATAATCGTTGTAATCTTGGGGTGATTGAATGGTACCACAAAGATTTCCTTGGAACATCTTTCTGCCTCACAGCAACTATGTTCCTTGGCTCATAACGGGATTCTCCAAACACTGGACATGCAGTTAAATTCTTGCTTTGCTCATCATAGTACAAAAAGCAATCATTGATGCAAATATCAATTTTCTTATACCCAAGTCCAAGCACATTTATAATTTTCTTGCACTGTAGAAATCCTTTAGGACCTTTTCTTAGTCCTTTGGACTCAATAACTTGAGACTCAATGATAGTGCCATCTCCCAATTAGCAGCACTCATATTATAAAGAGTCTTCATGTTTAGCATTTCTGCCATCCATGAAAGTACTATGACATTCTCTCCCCCAACACCTATATAAACTTCTACAGCACGTAGAGGATCAAAAAATTGTCTTGCTTTACTATTTTGGCTCCTGTAATACCCCAAAATTTCCTAGAGCATTAAAGTTGAGTTAGGGACTTAATAGTGAAAAAACATTATTAATGGGCCTAACTGTCAATTTTTCAAACTTCAAAGGGGTTAAAAGGTTATTGGATAAGGCCGGCTGACTCATTTCCTTTATCTTTTTCTTCTTTCTTTCTTTCTTTC